TGCATATTTGCACAAAATATTGCATTTTATCAGTGTGGAAAAGGGCACTGATAGAAAGGGCCAGCCGGAGAGAAGGAACCCACTTAGGGACACTAAATGCAAAGAGTCGCTGAGATCAAATGGAGTATGTAATTCCAACTAGCTTGCCCCTAAGAACCAGCGGGCATGTGTGTGCATATTTGCACAAAATATTGCATTTTATCAATGTGGAAAATGTGAGTCCTTCCCCGCTTTTCCAAGAAACCCCAGTGACAAATGTGGCAAAAGTGTCGAGAGCCTCCTCCGCACAACAACCCAGCTTCACTGCATTTGAAACTCGATCCTTTGGGGGAAAGCCCAGACAGAACAATATCCACCACTACCATGGATGCTATTTTCTGACCACCACCGCTCTTGCGAGGGCTGAGTCAGCCAGTGGGCATTCAAAGCCTGCCACCTGCGCAAGCAGATGGCATTGACAAATACCCGAAGCGGGCAGGCTGGCACTGCGGTGGCATTGACATCACTGGAGGGAAGAAAGGAATTAGGGCACAGTGCCGCAGGGTGCAAAGGAGAGCAACGGCAAGGGGAAAGACGGAGGCCGGATCCAGCCCTCTCACCACGCTTGCTGCTGCATTCTGACCGCATCATTCCTGTAAAGTCTGAGTCAACAAGTGGGCAACTACAGCCTGCTGTTGCCTGCCTAAGCAGATGGCACTGATAGAAAGGACCAGCCGGAGAGAAGGAACCCACTTAGGGACACTAAATGCAAAGGCTTGCTGAGATAAAATGGAGTATGTGATTTCCAACTAGCTTGCCCTCAAGAACCAGCGTGGAGTACTGAGTAGTTCAAGTGTTGGACTACGACTCTCGAGACCGGGGTTCGATTCCTGCTCAGCCGTAAAACCCACTGGGTGACCTTGGGTGCAAGTCACTCAAGCTGAAAAAACTCTCGTATTAATATAAATTCATGCTTTTTAGTCATGCTCAATAAATAATAATAATAATAATAATAATAATAATAATAATAATAATAATAATAATTTATATCCCGCCCCTCTGCAGAGCAATCGGGGCGGCGTACAACATTAAGATTACCATAAAAATGCGATACAAATCACAACCTAATAATCCCCAAACCCAGCCACCCCTTTAAAAAAGTATTAAACAATTACATAATTAAAACATAATTAAAAATGGAGGGGATTTTGGGATTCTTCCTGGACAGCAGGCTGAAATGTAGGACATGTCCTGGAAAAGGAGGATGTCTGGTCACCCTGACCACAGTCCAACATCACTTGGCCACAGACTTCCCAGTTTTCATCTGTGAAATGTTGGAGGGTATGTAGAGATAAAGAGCTGAGAGAGCCAGTGTGGCGTAGTTGTTTGAGTGTTGGACTATGACTCCGGAGACCAGGGTTTGATTCCCAGCTTGGCAATGAAACCTCCTGGGTGACCTTGGACAAGTCACACTCTCTCAGCCTCAGAGGAAGGCAATGGCAAACTTCCTCTGAACAAATTGTGCCAAGAAAACCCCACGATAGGGTAGCCTTAGGGTCACTGTAAGTTGGAAAAGACTCAAAGGCACACAACACACACACATTTTTGTTACGCCTGCTTTCTTGGGGATTCTGGGAGTTGCTACTCGCTGCCTTTTCACGCCACGCCAAATCATCTGGCTGTCTAAGGCAACTCCTTCAATCCACCTAATGGCAAAGCTGGCTCTGAATGAAGGATCTGGTGGATCTATGCCTTCACCAACCGTATCCCTGAAATGCCTGGGTCAGCCACAATTGGGGTTTAAGGTTTTAAAAAGCACAGCTGTGATCCTACATCGCAGTCTCCATTTAATAGCTTTACCAACCCATAACTAAGTTTCAGAAACACAACAAAACTCTATTAGTGAATGACAAAGATGTGCATAACAACATAAAAAATAAGCCACTGACCCATTGCAGTTGCCCACCCCAATCTAGTCTGGCAATCCCTCTTGCCTAGCCTTACTCTTGAGCTTCCCCTGAAGAGCCTCTGCTTTCGGATCCGTATTTTTGCGGAAAAGTGTGGTATAACTACAGATGATGGAGGAAGAGGAGGAATGTATAACTAAAGCATAACCTCCAACATTTTACAGATCAAAACCAAGACACCTGTGGCCAAGATGGCAAAATTTATCAATGAGGCAAAATATTCAAGCTAGGAGAAGCTGCAGCACTTTGCTTTTGCCTGAGCCTTACTGGGAAGGGCAAGATGATGTCCCTTCTTCACCCCTTCCTCCTGCTAAGTCAATGGAGCGCACACTACTTTTGCCCTTTTAAACTTAAGGTTTCCAGTTTGCACCAATAAGCAGAAGACAAAGGAGGAAGGTGGGAGGAGAAGACAGAAACCAGGACATTTTCAAAGCAGCTAAAAAAGTAGGAGGATTAATCTGGTCTTTGACTCTTCCAGACTTCCCAGTGTACTCATTCTCTGGCCAAAGAAAGAGTGATTTTTTTCTCTCTTTCTTTCTCCAAAGTCTCAAAAAGTGGCAATTCTCTTTAAAGTGAGTTGAACCCCTACCTCCTGTTGAACATTTTAAAGCTATATGGGTATTTTCCCCCTCTCAAAACCAGAAGATAACTTCTGATAGCTTTTGGGTTTGCTTCATTTTCTCATGGTTTGGCATTTTTGGCAAGACGTAGCCCTTGGAGAGTCCCAGGGGCAGAATATTGACCCTCAGATCCACTGCAGTTGTCCAGCCCAGCATTAAATAAAGTTGATGCTGGTCTTTCTGCATTCCAGAAATGCACCCTTCCTCTTTGTAGCTGTTGGACTCAGATGACGATCCCCAGCATATTCAACAATTGTGTCATGTAAAAAAGAATTCTGAGGATTGCCAAAAGTGTATGTGAATTGTTTTGAATAGTCTATACACAAAAGACAGAGGAGATGGTTATAGCTATTGAGAGGAAAGGGGGAAGAGAAGGAGGAATGAAAGGCAGACTGCCTCTGGGGCTGCATCCACACTGGAGAAATAATCCAGTTTGGCATCACTTTCACTACCATGGCTCAATGCTATGGAATTCTGGGATCTGTAGTTGGTGGTGGCAGAGCCAAGCGGGGAACTGAACCCTAATCTCTCAGTATCCTAATCCAAACCTCAAATATCATTCCCTCAATTTCTCCAAAGCTCTCCTGGCTGAAATCCTCCAAGGTACCGGATCCCAGTTCCTGACTCAGAAGTGTGTCATCCCCGGCCCTACATTTCCTTTCCTTGACTCACTAAGGGCCATGACAAGGAGGCCAACTTAACCGAAGGCAGACAAAAAGGAATGGCAGGCATGTCGGGTGAGGCAACGCTTCTAGGCACACACCCCATTCGAGCATGGTGCGCTTTTCTCTCAGCAAAGAAGAGCAAGATTGGCTTGCCACAGGGCGGTATATAAATAAAATTTATTATTATTATTATTATTAAGACAGCATGGGTGCAATGCAAGCGTATCCACGAGAGAGAGGGAATTTCCGCAGCCAAGTTCCTCTTCTAGAGATGGACATCAACCTCGAAGGAAGAACTGAAAGTCCTTTCAGGGGCCCCAAGTTTTGGTTCCCACGCAAGTAAGGGGACATGGAGGGTTTTGTCCCATTGTTCGCCAAACAGGTCCAACAGTCTTGGGAGGTGTGTAAGTGGAACCATTGCAAAACTCTGCCAAACCTGTTTGACTAGAGGCGACAAAAGAACTCACTTTGGGAGAGGTGTGCCCACATGCCGCCAGCTCCAGGAGCCATTCCTCCTCTAAATTGCTTTTGAAACCCAAGAGCAAAATTGAACAACAACAAAAAAAAGAGAGTGCCTAGAGAAAGGTACTGTGAGAATTGGGCCCTACCTTGTTATTATCCTGATTGTAAAGAAAATTGATCCCAGACCAAAAAAGATGCATCAACACAGAGGGCTATAGGCAAAAGAAGACAGAGCTTTAGGGCCATAACTGTGCATCACTGTCCCGAATTGGCAAGGTCAAACCCAATTTATCGTCCCACTTTTAAAATAGCCGGATTTCTCTTTTTCCCTTCCCCTTTGTTTTTACTCCATAGAAACACAATGGAGCCAACACAGTGTGGTAGTTTGTGTCTTTGACTACAACTCTGGAGACCAGGGTTCGATTTCCAGCTTAGCCATGAAACCCACTGGGTGACCTTGGGCAAGTCACATGCTCTCAGCTTCAGGGGAAGGCAATGGCAAACCTCCTCTCAACTAATCTTGCCAAGAAAATCCCATGATTTCCCCATAAGTTGGAAATGACTTGAAGGCGCACAACAATAGAATCATAGAATTGGAAGAGACCATAAGGACCATCCTGTCCAACAAGGGCTGTGCCAACCCTCTCTCCATATTTCAGTTTTGTTTTTTGCCTTCAAGTCATTTCTGAGATATGGTGATTCTAAGGCCAACCTATTACAGGGTTTTCCAGGGCTGAGAGTGTGCGACTTGCCCAAGGTCACGCATGGGTTTCGATGGCCAAGCAGAGAATCAAACTCTGGGTCCAAAATGCATTGCAGAAATAAGCCAGTTTGACATTGCTTTAATTGCCCTTGCTCAATGCTAGGGAATCCTGGGAATTGTAGTTTATTGTGGCACCAGAGCTCTTTGACAGAGAAGGCTTAAACGTCTCACAAAGTTACATTTCTCAGGATTCCCTAGTATTGAGCCAGGACAGTCAAAGAGGTCTCAGACGGGATTATTTCTGCAGCGTGTTTTGGATCCTGGTCTCCAGAGTCTTAGTCCAATGCTCAGACCACTACACCAGGCTGGATCTCAGTTGCACAGCAAACTGAGTTCAAAAGGGCAAAAGTGGTTCGCAGTCCATTTAATTCAGCTCAGAGATGTGGAGAGGAAGAGGCAGAGTCTTCTCCTTCTCAGTAATCTCTTGCAAAACCAAGCTGCTGCAGCTTCTCCTAGCTTGCATGCTCTCCTTCACTTTTTATAACTTTTTTCCATCCGGACCACACTCTGATGTTGCTTGGCCACATGTGTCCCAGTTTTCCCCTGTGAAATATTGAAGGATATGCAAGCAACCCTATTAGTTTCTCAACACCATCCTCTCTCCCATGCTTTGATCAGCTTAACACGCTAAAACCCAGCAAGCGGAGCTTTTTCCTGCCACGGAGATGCTGTGTGATGGGAAATTACTTCATCCAAATTATTGCTGATTTAGGGCTTTGAAAAACAACTCACTTGAATAGTTGTATAAACCTGCGTATGGTTGTGAAAGCTGGACAGGGAAGAAAGCCGATAGGAAGAAAATCAACTCATTTGAGATGTGGTGCTGGAGAAGAGGTCTACGGATGGTGTTTTGCTAAAAAGACAAAAAAATGAGTCCTAGAACAAATCAAGACTGAACTCTCTTGAGAAGCCAAGATGTCTACCTGAGGCTGTCGTACTTTAGTTATACCATGAGAAGAAAGGTGGTGGTGGTTGTGTGCCTTCAAGTCATTTCTGACTGATGGAGACCCTAAGGCAAACCTATCATGGAGTTTTCTTAACAAGTTTCTTCAGAAGGAGTTTGCCAATGCCACTGCCACCCTCTGAGGCCGAGAGAATGTGACTTGCCCAAGATCACCCAATGGGTTTCCATGGCTGAGCAAGGATTCAAACTCTGGTTTCCAGAATTAGTTAGTTATTCATTTAATGTGCCACCCTTTCCCCCTGCAGAGGAACCCAAAGAAGCCCATCAATTTAAAAAATATATATTGTTCTACAATGCTATTGCTCTGGAGCATGAAAGGCTTCCAGATGTTGTTGGGACTGCCGCTCCCAACAGCCCCTTAGCCAGTGTAGCTAATGGCAAGGAATGCTGAGAATTGCAATTCAGCAACAATCCACTTTTCCAGCTGTTTTTAAAATGTCCTACTTTTTCGTTCCTCCTCCCTTTTCCCTCGGCTTACTCCAATTGCTGCAAACTGAGTTCACTGGGCAAAACCAGTAAGCACTCAGTTCAGCTGAGGGAAGAAGAGAGGAAAGAGGGGAGAATCCTGCCCTTCCCATTCAGCTTAGGCAAAAGCAAACTGCTGCAGTCTCTTCTAGTTTGTGTGTTCTTCCTAACTTTTGCCACACTTGGCCACACAAGTCCCAGCTTTCATTTTGTGAAATGTTGGGTGGTATGCCATTGCAGCCAGTTCAGGGACAACCTTTATGCCCTGGGACTCTCTCGGGACCATGTGGAATACTAGATCGATCAATCAATCAAATGCCCCAAAGGGCTGGAAATCCAGTTCTGGTCGTCAAAAATGTGTAGTTTTTATGTGCCAGTGATTCCCAAACGTTAGTCCTCCAGGTATTTTGGACTTGAACCTCCAGAGGCTCTAGCCAGCTTTGCTAATAATCAGGAATTCTAGGAGCCAAAGTCCAAAACATCTGGACTACCAAAGTTCGGGAACCTCTGTATTAAACAGTTGCAACATAGGTAAAGGGTACACTGTTGTTCTGGAGTCTTTTGGGAACAGCAGTGTATCTTCTTTTTTGGCCAGAAAAAAAGAATCAATTTGGCAATGCCAGAGAAGATGAAGGCCACAAAAGCATCCCTGGGCTTCAGGTGTCTTACCCCCAGCATAGAGCTTTGCATGGAGCCACTGGGTTCAAAAACGTTGGACTAGGAGCAATGTCTTAAAAAAGACCCTCTTGTTGCCCTGATGAAGTTTCTATTCCAGAAGGAACCAGGAATGTCCCTTGGACCACAAAACCCCTCTGGAACCACTTCCTCTTACCCAGGCGTCTGGTTGGGCTCTTTGCAACCCCACGCATGTGCCGAATCAGCAAAAGAAAAAGATGGGGAAAAGGCTCCCACAGTAGCCGGCTTTGGCTAATTGCTCACCAGCTTCCAACAAAAAGGACCAGCGGTGAGGATGCTGGGAAGCTGCCGGGAACAAGACCAAAAAAGCACTGGAGCTCATCATCAAAGCAGCAGAAAAGGAAATGCCAGCAGACAGAGCCACAAATCTGGGCATGCAAAAGCAACGGAGAGCTAGGAAGTTAGTCAAAGTTACTTTTTGATGACTACAACTCTTAGGAAACCTCAGCCAGGGAAATTCTGGGTGTTAGAATCCAAAAATGCAACATTTCCCAGCTTTGAGTGAGGACAGATCCTTCCTTGAAATGCCAGAGCAGCACACCATCCAATATTTCATAGATTAAAACCGATATCAAGATGGTCAAGATGGGAAAAGTTATTATGAAGAACACGCTAGCTATGAGATGCTGCAGCAGTTTGCTTTTGCCTGAGCCTATTGGGAAGGGCAAGACAATTATTAATTATTATTATTATTATTATTATTATTATTATTATCCCGCCCCTCTGCAGCACAATCGGGGCAGCTTACAACAGTTAAAAACACCAATACATATATCAATTCCCTAACCCACCCTCCCCTTAAAACAATATCTTTATCTTCTCCCCTACTCTCCTCCCCTAATGAATGCCTACAGATGAAGCCATGGGAGTTAAAATGGATCCATACTGCTATAACTGTGTCATGTGAAAGGAACCACCGAAAGAACACTAGTTTGTCATTATCCTGTAACACTTAAGGGCTACAGGATCTGTAGAAATAAGGAGGCATGATGGTGTAGTGGTTTAAAGCATTGCACTACAACTCTGGAGATCAGGCTTCGAATTCCTGCTTGGCCATAAAAACTCACTGGGTGACCTTGGGTAAGTCACACTCTCTCAGCCTCAGAGGATGGCAATGGTAAGCCCCCTCTGAAGAAACATGCCAAGAAAACCCTGTGATAGGGTCGCCATAAGTTGGCAAGGACTTGAAGGCAAACAACACAGGATGGAGCTAAGCAGTATCACCCTGCTAATCGCTGGGCATCAGGCTGCATCGAAAGGCTGAGATAGTGACTCCTTTGCTTTCTGACAGTTCAGTGTGCACAAAGTTTGTTTTATGCAAATTATTATTTAAAATATTGCATAAAATTACCTTTAGGCTATGTGTATAAATAAATTTGGGGTTTAGACTTGGGTTCCATCTCCAAAATATCTCATTATGTACATCCATGCAAATACAGATATTCCAAATTCCATAAACAAATGAATAACATCCGAAATTTCGGTCCCAAGCATTTTAAGTAAGAGATGCTCAACTTGTAGTGTCATTTGCTGGGATGCACAGTTAAACATATATCTCTATCTCTGCAGGCAGGTTGTGCTAAATTTTTCTCCCTGAGTCATCCTCCATTCACATCCTATGTCTCAAGGTTTTATGACTAGAGGAAACTATCTCACATCGTTGTTTTGGAGAGAGATAAAATAGGAGCAGAAGGGGACAAAAAGCCATGGACACTTTCCTGAGCTCCCTGCAGGAGGAAGAAGAGGATGGAGATGAAATAAAGAATTAATATGATGCCCTTGGTTCTCCTTCCACTGCAAAGTATGACCATACCTTCCAACTGTCCTGGCTTAGCAGGAATGATCCTAGCTCTACCTTCTCACGTTTTCAGTTGCTGTAAAAAAAATTCCACTTTCTCTTTCCTGCTTCCACTTTCTCCCATTGTTTTAGGCTTACCTGAATAGCTGCAAGCAATGCTCAAAGTGGAAACAAAAGTTTGCACTCAATGAACTCAGCAGAAGGGGGAGAAGAGAATGTGGCAGAATCTTGCCCTTCCCAAGAGGCTCAGGCAAAAGCAAACTGCTGTAGCCTCTCCTAGCATGTCTGTTCTTCTGCATTAATCTTGACCTTGTTCTGATTTTGCCTGGCCATTCATGTCTCAGTTTTTCATGAAAATGTTGGCATGTGCGACTTTGCCCTTCCCTGCTGTGCCAGGAACAAGGGGGAAAGTCTTGGCATTGCCACCCCCTTTTGTGTGTTGTTAACTGCCCTCCAGTCGATCTCAACTCATGGCAACCCTCTGGATGAGCCATCTCCAAGAAGACCCTCTGTCCTCCCCTGCTCTGCTTAAATCCCGCAACCCCTTAATACCCAAAGTGACCTCTTTCATAGAGTCCCTCCATCTGGCAT